TACTATTCGGATCACCATTTGTATTCTATCCTCTATTTCTATTCGTATCTCTATTTTTATTCTATCTTCTATTACTATTCGGATCTCTATTTCTATTCTATCCTCTATTACTATTTGGAACACTATTTCTATTCTATCCTCTATTACTATTCGGATCGCCATTTCTATTCTATCCTCTATTACTATTTGGAACACCATTTCTATTCTATCCTCTATTACTATTCGGATCGCCATTTCTATTCTATCCTCTATTACTATTCGGATCGCCATTTCTATTCTATCCTCTATTACTATTCGGATATCCATTTCTATTCTATCCTCTATTAATATTCGGATCTCCATTTCTGTTCTATCCTCTATTACTCTTCGGATCGCCATTTCTATTCTATCCTCTATTACTATTTGGATATCCATTTCTATTCTATCCTCTATTACTATTCGGATCTCCATTTCTGTTCTATCCTCTATTACTATTCGGATCTCCATTTCTGTTCTATCCTCTATTACTATTCGGATCGACATTTCTTTTCTATCCTCTATTACTATTCGGATTGCCATTTCTATTCTGTCCTCTATTACTATTCGGATCGCCATTTCTATTCTATCTGCTATTACTGTACGGATCGATATTCTCTACTCTATTCACTTTACTATTTCTCTATTCGGATCACTGTACGGATTACTATTCGAGCGAGTATTATCGAGCAATTACTATTAGTGCGGGTGATATTCGAAGGCGTTTGACACCAGTATTGTTCAACGGCATTACTATAGTGGTATGTACGATTACAAAGTCTCTACTACAATGAGCATTTACGAAAGTGACAACGAGTATTCGTTGGCATTACAAAAGTGGCAACAAGGGTTCGGTGACATCACAAAATTCGTAAACCTTCGTTTACAGGTTTATATTCAAGTTGTAACACTTTTGTTCCTAACATTCACAAGTTTGGTCTGGTATCTACTTTGGTCCAATGTGTTTTAACGATTTCTTCTTCGAGTTCGTTAAACGAATACATTTCTGAAGAAAATGTTTTTCTTGTTATTATCCTTAAGCGTGTTATCGGACGTAAGTTCAAGCATTTTAAGGAATCTGTACGTTTAGGTCCCAGTTGGTGTCCTATTTATCCTTAATTTACCATGGGTAAGCACGAAAGGTCAGTTGCCTTCTGATAGGCTTTCGACTTGCATTCTTTTTCTTTTTATGGGCCATGTCCTTTCAGGACGTAAGCGATCATGGCTCTCCATTTCCGTCTATCTCTTGCAGTTCTTAACAAGCTCCTTTCCTCTGCCATCTCCCCCAGACCACGCTCTGTCACCCCCTTGCTTATGCCCGCCAGGTATCTCATGCGTTGTTTTCCTTTGTCTCTCTTCTCCTCTATGCGGTCTGTGAGTATCAGATTCTCCAGGCCCTCCTTCCTCATTATATGTCCCAGAAATTTCAGCTGCCTTTTCCTGATGTTAAGTATAAGCCTCTTCCTTGATTGCATCTCTTCTCTAAGACTTCACCGTTGCTCAGACGTTCCTTAGCATCCTCCTGTACCGTTAAGTTGCCTACTGTCTTTCAGACTAGATCTGTGTTGCCTTCCTTTAATAAAGATTGGTTATCCTATTTTCAAAATGTTTCCGTAGTATACAAATACAAATGCTAGTGCTATTCTATATACATAGGATGGACTAATCAAAGATTGGTAACCCGTATTGCGCAACACGCTCCTATTTAAGATTAAACAGTCGGAGTCTTTCAGTCTGTGAACGAGTTTTCTATTGGACAACACTTATTTGACAACGCAGATTTTGCCGCTGTACACGATAACACATTTTTTCTGTTTTACATAGAGCTTGTTCTGCTCAGCAACTTTCAAGTTCTCGAAGCGGTATATATTAAATTATATCAGCCTTGCCTATGTAAACAGAAGGAATATTTTATTCGTCACTGGTGTTTGTTTGGAGGACTATGAGTAAACTTTTTTATATTTTATATTTTCCTGGAACCTTTTAATATCTGTTTTAATGTCGTTAATTATTTACAGTTGAAATTTGTTTTAATTGTGTTCTAATTTCTCCAGCTCATTTGCTATTTTGTAATTGTGTCCTGAGTTCGGTTAATTGCGACAACGTCTACCTTTTGAAAAAGTATTGGTTGAAAGGGAATCATTAAAGGTATATAAAATGGCATATATATATATATATATATATATATATAAATATATATAAACAAGGATTAAACCTATATATATATATATATATATATATATATATATATATTATGTTTATAAACAAGGATTGAACCTACAGAAAAGAACACAGATTTGAACGAAGTTGGTGCCATTTTATATAACTTTAATGATTATATATATATATATATATATAGATAGATGCTCTTTTATATACATTTAATGATTATATATATAAAGAAAAGAACAGACAGATTAAAAATCCACAGTTCTTTAGCATTTACTTTTTTAAAAAGTGCTCGATACAACGTGTTACAAAAAAGCTTTTAAGCAAATCATTTTATTATTTTCATCATGAGTTAACTGACATCGTTTGATGATGGAAAAATTTTAAGTTCCGAAACATAGAAATTTTTATGTAGGAATGTAAAATATTTTTGAATATATATATATATATATATATATATATATATATATATATATATATATATATATAGAGAGAGAGAGAGAGAGAGAGAGAGACAGAACCTGTATGTATGTAAGGAGTGGAGTAGTGGATAGCGACTCGGAATCAGAGAGCCGATTTCGAATTCCAGTCGAATCCATTACATTCACTTACGTACTATTGTCCTTGGTATGAATCCTCTTCTTCTCCCTCCAGCTATGGGTAAATAGCAGGACAGATTGGAAACTAGGAGAAGAACAATTCTGTATTCAAATCCTTCCGAAATTTGGGGATCTTAGATCGTAGAATGTATTCTGCATTCATTCAAAAAGTGTGGTTGATTCTGCACAAAGCTTTCACCACTATGATCAAATCATATTGTACTAGGAACTGAGCTGCTTGAACCCTCATACGTCGAATACAACGTGCGTATATATATATATATATATATATATATATATATATATATATATATATATATATATATATATATAAACTTCTATATATGAGAACAATGTTGGGCGAATGAATGAGAGAAGTGAGAAACATTGTGTGTAATGCTCTTCATTCTAAAGATTGTATTCATCAAATTAAAATAAAGCCTTTTTTGATATGAAATAGAAAACAATGAAAAAAAATCGGGGGAAAAACCGATGAAAAAGTCAAAACAAAAAATAAACTAAGAAGAAAATACCAAAAGACAGGCACCACCATGATCATTTTCCCGGGAAATCTAGTTGAGCTTTCTTGAGAAGAGGGTAATTTTAAAAACAGTGGCTCCTAGTGCTATTAACGCATTGCTCTTCAACCTCTTTAAGCCACTGGCATTTTTCGTATAGAAAACGTTAAAATTTCCCTTTCTCTGTGCCGCGCGACGATAGCCTAGTGGCAGGATCTCTGACTGATGCTAAATCGGTTAGATTTCGATCCCGGTTTGAAGCAATCGGACGTCTAACCACACTGAAGAGCTGTGATACAGCAAAACTGTCTGTGGATGACTGTATCTATCTATCTATCTATCTATATCTATATCTATATCTATATATATATATATATATATATATATATATATATATATATATATATGTATAAATTATTAGGAGGATTTGAGGTAATTATAATTAAGTAATTCATTGAGTCTAGAAAAAACCTCAACAGAATCCAGAAAGCACAGGATGGCCGTTTCGTCCTATATTTGGGACTCATCAGAACTTGTATATATATATATATATATATATATATATATATATATATATATATATATATATATATATATATAAGGTCTGATAAAAAGTATCAGGAGTGTTGCTAAAGTACGCATAAAGAAGCCGCTTGACACAAATTGACCTTGAACTCCTTCTCGCTCACTTCCGTTGTTTATAGCAGTGTTTGGAAGGAAAGTGTGTAGAGTGTGGTCCTCTCACCACAACATAAAGGTTAGATCAGTGACCGTGGCTTTTCTCATTTTTACCTTGAATTCACAAATTTAAGTACAGTACTAGATTGGCAGATAGGTCTTATATTCACTGTTGAAACTGCTAGTTGTAACCATAAGTGCTATCCTAATAGTTTATTTTCACTTGTAAGACAGCCTACCGGCTTCCTACTTCCCTATCAGTTACTATCTTCAAAAATTTAAATGCAATATCAAGCGTCGTCTTCAGTCTTTTTTTTTTTTTTTTTTAATGATGTTCTTTTATTGTCCCCTGTTTCTTTTCATCGCAGTGACCCGTTACCTCCTAGTGGCTTTTACTGCCAGCCATGCCGATTATGACGTTTCCAATTCTAGTCGGGATTTTGTCAAGAATCTCTAGACATAAAATTGTTTCAAAGAATTTTTTGGATTCCCAAGTTTTCATTACTACGATTGTTTCAAATTTTTTTACGTGATTTTCTGCGACAAATTTTTTGTACGATAACAATTTTTATAGCTCGGAAATAAATTTGGGAATAATCGAAATAGCGAAATCCAGCAAGAGTCAGCCATGAAATAAAAATAATAGTTTTTACGAAAGTAAGGACCTATGTACAGTGGCGGCAGAATTATCGTTGAACTTTTAACAGGTAAGCTTAAATATTAATGCAATAAATAAATGCAGCTATCATTTTTGAGTTCTTCTGTAGATTATTGTTGCCCATCGCTTCTACTCCCTACCTATTGTAAGGAAGGCCTAATCAAGAGCCCTCTACAGGAGCTAGCTTAAATGTCGCTCGATAGAAACAAATTTAGAAAATTTAGCGTTCTTAAAGTTTTTTTCTCCTGTTCTTAGGGAGTACAAAAAATTCCGTAATGATTATTGTCCCAAAGGCCTTCGACAAATTCATTTGTAATTTGCAAGGGGATTGTTGTTAATAAGTTTTTCAATGTTTGTGTTAGGCTAATGAATATTTTTCACACTAAATATACCAAGAGAAAGTGAGAGGGTGCGTAAGAAACAAAGGGGGAATAGATGAAGATAGACAGATATACACAAATTAGTACAAGCAGATAGATAGATAGATAGATAGATAGATGTAAATCGACTGAGATAGATAGATAGATAGATAGATAGATAGATATGAACCGACTGAGATAGATATGAATCGACTGAGATAGATAGATAGATAGATAGATAGATAGATAGATAGATATGAATCGACTGAGATAGATAGATAGATAGATATGAATCGGCTGAAGTAGATAGATAGATAGATACATACATACATACATAGATAGGTAGATACATAGATAGATATGAATCGACTGAGATAGATATGAATCGACTGAGATAGATAGATAGATAGATATGAATCGATAGATAGATGTGAATCGACTGAGATAGATATGAATACTGATAGATAGATAGATAGATAGATAGATAGATGAATCGATAGATGATGAATCGACTGAGATAGATATGAATCGACTGAGATAGATAGATAGATAGATCGAATCGATAGATAGATAGATGTGAATCGACTGAGATAGATAGATATATATATAGATAGATATATATATATATATATATATATATATATATATATATATATATATATATATATATATATATATATATTTTATAGATACAAGTATTTAAGTAAATGCTCTGTTTATAATAAACAGTATTAAATAACATTTACCGGCCTGAATGTCCGAGAAATTTTCATAGATAGATAAGTAGATAGATAGATAGATAAATAGATAGATAGATAGATAGATTCGACAAGCATATTCCACAATAAAGGTAATTAAAAGCACGATCGAAAAGCTTGACAGTTATAATAAATGAAAAGATACGATGAATAAAATTGAAAGAAGAGAAACAAAATGTGTGAGAGGAAGAAAAATGACGAGCAAAACAAGAAAAGAAAGATAGTGAAAGAAAGAGAGAGAGAGAGAGAGAGAGAGAGAGAATAAGGGAGAAAGAGAGGTGGGGAGCAAAGATAGGAAGGATGCCTGACGTCATACTAATGGAGTCGCTGTCTTATTTCCTTGTCTTCTTTCCTTCTTACCCTCTCCTTACGTTTCCACTTGCTGATAAAGCTTTCGTTTTGCCTGTTTTTTCGCCATTTCATCGCAGTCAGGGAAGCAACAGGAAAAAATAGAAAGATAGAAGGAAAGAATGAGTGAATGAACGAATGAATGAATGACGGAAAGAATGAATGAATAAAAGAAAAATCCAATGAAAGAAAGAATGAATGAATGAAAGAATGAATGAATGAATGAATGAAAGAATGAAGAGAGAAAGAAAGAATGAAAGAAAAATAAATGAAAGAAAAAATGAAAGAAAAAAGAATGAATGATAGAAAGGAACAATGAATGACTGATTGAATGAAAGAAAGAATGAAAGAAAAAATCAATGAAAGAAAAGAAAGAAAGAATGAATGAATGAAGGAATGAATGAATGAAAAATGAATGAAAGAAAAAGAATGAATGAAACAAAGAAAGAATGAATGAATGAAAGACAAATGAATGAAAGGAAAAAGAATGAAAGAAAGAGAGAATGAATGAATGAATGAAAGAGAGAATGAATGAAATATAGAATGTATAAATAGAAGAAAAAATAATGAAAGGAAAAAGAAAGAGAGAAAGAATAGATGAAAGAAAGAAAGAAAGAAAAATGAATGAATGAGTGAAAAAGAAAGAAAGAAAGAAAAAGATACTGAATAAAAGTTCTCCTGTTTTCCTAATGAAAAGTCTGTTTTCTTTCCCTTCTGCAATAGCATCTATTTCTGCTCCCTTTTTGCCATCTAATGTATGAACTTTTGTAACTATTATTATTATTGTTGTTGTCTTTCTTCCAGCGGCAAATGGAGACACTTGGCGCCGATTGTAACGCTTCATAATTGTTGTTCTTCATGTCATCCGTACAACAATTATCACGTTCATATATATATATATATATATATATATATATATATGTATATATATGAATGAGAGAGAGAACAAAGGGGAGAGGGAGTTTTATTATGAGTCATTGTATTAGCTGGCATTGTGATATCAGCTTTCATTATCTGGTTGTTTTCTTTTTGTTATTGGCATCGCTGTAAATGTTTTTGTTAGTAATATAATTGATATTACTACAAATTCACATTTCTTATCTATATCTCTTGCATTGTCATTATGCGAGCCACTTTAGGATTAATTCGGATGATTTCTAGTGAAAAGTTCCTTTTTTTTTCTACAATATCAATTTTGCTAACATTATGGATATGCGGGTATGGTAACAATTTATTGCTTGTAAAATGGAATCGGCGATTAGACCTTAAGTTCCGGCCTCGTCTGCTTCAGTAACTTTGCACTAATGCCCTTGGGAAAGGCAAGAATCCATCTCTTCTTCTTTCCAGCTATTGTTTAAATAGCAACGTAGACTGAGCTGTTTCTCATTGGGTTGCTACTAGTTTAGAAGGATCATTCATAATCGTGAAGAAGTCAACAGGAAGCCAGGATGTTTTCAGTTTGCTCACGGACTCAGCCTGATTCTAAAATGGTATATGTTGATAAAGAGTAAAGTTGAAAACGTGTGACACGCAAAAGATATAACCAGACTACCGTGGTTTCACTTCTCAGGTTTCAAGCTGATATTATATATATATATATATATATATATATATATATATATATATATATATATATATATATATATATATATATATATATATATATATATATATATATATATATTATTTATGTATGTATCCATTGCCAGTCGCTTTTTAACGAACCTTGTACAAAAGAGGGGATTCCTGCCCACCAAATACACAATCCCTTCTTTCTTTTTTTTTTTCTCTTCTCCCCTCCCATTTCAATATATCACTTCCGTTAAGTTAACCGGTTAAATAGGTCATGGTCTGATCATTCCTCCCCCAATACTAAGTATGATTGAAAAAATTATTAAAATAAACCCTCTCTAAACTCGACCATGTCTCTCAAACTACTCCCCATTACCCCCTCTGTTAAATTACAAAAACTTACATTACCCATTAAAAGTGTGAATTTTCGTTTCATCTTTTGGAAGTGCTATCAGATGATCCGGCGTCCTTTAAAAGGGCTCTGGTGAAATAAATTATTATAATAGAACCTTAAACCGTAACTAACCACCTTAGATAATATTTAAAAATATTGTTTCTTTTTCTCAGATGATCAACAAATCTTAAACTATATATTCATTAAGAAAATCCTTTATTAAATCTATTACAATCACTTTAAGATATTTCTATCCAGCTGGAGTAAAAATATAAATTAAAAATTAAGATGTGCAAAAGTAATTGAACCCTTACATTTAATATTTTCTGACTGCTCTTTTTGAGGTTACAATGTCAACCACTCTTTTTCTATAATTTCTGGCAGTAGTGAGTTTCTTGGCAAACCTACCACGATTAATCGATATTATCAGAGTTTCTTGCATTCAGTGCCTGTTTTCACTTGAATCACAGATTTTCAGTTGGGGTTAGATCAGGACATTGCCTAGGCCGTTCTAAGACTTAAATTTCTTTTTACGAACCGTTCTTTTGTGGATTTGTTTTGATGTTTCAGATCATTGTCCTGTTGAAAGTTCCAGCCCCACCCTAAACCCAACTTCTGAACTGATGACAAGACACTTTCGTTCAAAATATGCCACTATGCCATAAAGCCATCAGTGCGTATTATTTTTCTTTTTTTTTTTCTTTTTTTTTTTTTTTTGAAGCGTTTCACCCCAAGCTAGGCGGGAAGCCACTAGCACGCAAGGGGTTACAGAGGGTTGGAGCGAGAGCAAAGAAGAGTGATAGAGGAAAGGATGAAGAGAAGGTAAGGGGATAGATCAGGGCATCTGGAGACGTCGATTGACATTACATTTGAATAGTTGGAGATTATAGCTATCAGGGAAACAGGAAAAAGGAGGCGAGAAGTGCGAGATATGAAGCTATTGGAGTAGAAGAGACGGCTACATTTAACAGTTTCAACACTGAAAGTGTGAGAGCGAGATTCCAGCCTAGTTGAACGCTTAAATTCATGAAGTCTGGGAACCAGCGAAAGCAGCTCATCGGAGCAGTTACCGTGAAAGTATTTGTAAAAAAGACAGAGGTAGGCGACGGCACGTCTGTGAGAAAGCGACTGCAGACGAGATGCCAGATCAGAGTCAATTACATTGCATATCCGTCTCTGGATTTTATCAAGGACCTTGAGACAAACAGAAGGGGCTTCAGACCATATATAGCAGCAATACTCCATGCAAGGGCGAATGGTCAATTGTTCAGCTGCAGTAAAGCACTCCCAAATCATAATGCTACCCTCACAATGTTTAATTCTTCTCTTCAAAAGCCGTATTAGGATATCGCGAGATATACCACCTATTGTTCATCCTGAAAACTTCTAGTTTGGTCTCACCCGACCATAAAACCTTTCGCCAGAATGTTTCTAGCTTATTAATATGAGCTTTAGCGTAGCTGTGGTGAGCATGTTTTGTGCTTTTTCGGAAGCAGTGGCTTTTTCTACGCATTCTGCGATGAAGGTCGGCATTCTTCAGATTTTGTCGCATTGTAAAAGGTATTTTCATTGATTCCGATATTGGCCAGTGGGCATTGGAGAACCACAGAGGTATAGCAGGATTAGCCTAGACTTGTCTAACTAAATACCTACTTGCTGTCATTTTTCATGGACAACCACTTCTTGATTGTGATGCCGTCATAACAAATGCCTTCCATTTATAAATAACTAGCAGCAAAGCCCGGCGTTGCCCGTGCTTGATTCAAAAATCGTACGACTCATACAGCAATCGCTATCACTTGACTTAAAATATTTTTGTCCTTCTTTGCCTTTAAAGGGGTGCCCTTTGCCGTTCTGATGTTGCTACATGCCTTACTTCTTGCCTTCAAGTGATTATAAAACAGAAAAGATTTTACACACGACCCACCCAGGAGACAGAGAGAAGAAAGAAAATTCTCCTTCCGCCTGCAGAAAGTCGCTCAATGAAGATTGATGTAAATCGTAAATGTCTAATCGACCGAGACCTGTTCATCACCCTGAACCCTCTGTCAAAATATTCGAAACAAGCACGCACACGCGCGCGCACACACACACAGACACACACACACACACACACACACACACACACATATATATATATATATATATATATATATATATATATATATATATATTGTGGATTCTCCGTCGTATTCTACGTATGAGGGTCAGGCAGCTCAGTTCCTAGAACCGACAGCCCTGACACCAGCACACACACTCACACACACACACACACACACACACACACACACATATATATATATATATATTTATATGTGTGTGTTGTGTGTTTGTCTGTGTGTCTGTGTGTGTTTTTCAAATATTCCTGGTGCTGAACAGGGCTCGGTCGATAAGTCATTTACGGTTTACATGCTTCATTGACCGACTATGATTATAATGGTGAGGCACGGTGGAGTAGTGGACAGTAGCTCGGATTGAGGAATTCTAGTTGAATCTATTACATTTCAATTGACCCTAATAAGTCGAATATATATATATATATATATATATATATATATATATATATATATATATATATATATATACTAGCAGCATGGCCTGGCGTTGCCCGTGCTTGATTCAAAAATCGTACAACTCATACAGCAATCGCTATCACTTGACTTAAAACATTTTTACCCTTCCTTGCCTTTAAAGGAGTGCCCTTTGCCATGCTGATGTTGCTACATGCCTTACTTCTTGCCTATCTCACACTGCGAATTTTTTCTAAGCTCTATACTAAACATTAAATGTATTATGAAAAAGAACTAAACAAAATGAACACAAAACGATCAGCTTTAAAAAAAGGACTCGTAACTGGAAAACCGAATGAAAAAGAATGTTAACAACAATTACTTTTTTCACACCCAACCCAGTTCTGCAGAATCAGAATCAACGTTGAGTTTAAGCAAGCGAATGAGCCAATTGGAGTAAAGTGCCATGCAGATTTAAATTTTTCTCACTTGTGACGAATGCAGCTATCGAGTTTTTTGCCTGCTAGCATGCTAGTTAACATTCGTGTCAGTCAGCTGTTGGCTCTCATGCTGGCCAATAGAATCTTCCTGCCTATTCGTGGCAGCCAGCTATAGGCTCTCACTCTGGCCAGTAGAAAATGGCCGCAAACTACATGAAAACTGCCGTAGAAGCATGAAAATATCAATTATTTCCACTATCGATGGCAGTTGGGAAATCCAAAGGGACACAAACATTGCATGATTGTGCAGAGGGAGAGGCAAGTTTGTAACATAGAAAAACTTTATGTTTGTCACGTGAATAAGAGAGGTTGTAAAAGTGAAGTTGGCCTTAATAATCACTTACGGGGCCATAGCAGAGTTTTAGCTCTGGTAAAAATCATGGAAATAATAACTTTCTGGATGAAACTCACAAAAAAGGGTACCACATAAAGAGATGGTCTTCTTCCGCAAAGAAGTGACAATCATCATCATGTATAAAGACTGCATGTGGAGTAATGGATAGCAGTTCGGATTGAGGAATCGGAGAACCGAGTTCGAATTCTAGTCGAATCGATTACATTCACTTAAGTGCTAATACCCTTCGGAAAGGTATGAATCCTCTTCTTCTCCCCCTAGCTATGGGTAAATAGCAGGACAGACCAGGTTATATAGCCTTTGCTGGCAAGTAGTCTACTGTAGAAAGAAATGGCAAACTACTGCGTGAAAAAATATGCATCGTTGGTCATGTATCGAAAGATACATGATCGCTTAAGCTTGTGTAACGCATAGCACATAACTGATTGGCACATTTCTCATAGATTAGGAATATCCCTGGATATTATCTATACTGCGATCAAATATAGACTTTACTTTTTAAAATACATTGTT